TCACGGTGGAAACATCCACCAGCTCAATCTTTAACATTCCCCCTCATGTCGTCTATTGCAATGCGCACATACGGGTCTCGGATCCATAGAGTTGCATCCTCGGCCTCGACCTCCGGTAGTCCGGGTACCACTCCGGGTTTACTTACTTCCCGAATAGCCATCCTTGAACTTTCCTGGAGTGAATTTTAATGGAGTAGGGAGACTTGGTTTTTTTCTCTTACCCAAAAACCTCACACTTTCGGTTCGTTGCTTCTTTGTTTAGCCTTTTAGCTCGGATAGCCGCAACTCTCAATCGGATATAGCTATCTAGATCTCCGGATGAGATCCCGCTTCGATGGCATATGATAACCCTTCTTCAAACTTTCGACATTTATCTCGTTCGGTAGCTATCATAAACAATGCATACCGGGATAGCTGGTTAAACCGTACCTCATAATCCACCACGGACATATTATTTTACTTCAAATTCAGAAATTCTTTCCTTTTCTCATATTGATAAATCTCCGACATGTAATTATCTCGAAATTCCCGAAGAAAATCTACCCATTGAAGGACGGAGAGGTCTGCATTGTAGCATTTGGGATTGTCTCCCACCGATCAAGCATTTCCTAGGAGAAGAGACACAAGCATAATCAAATCTTTCATCTTGAGTGCATTACATCATATTTAAAATCCTCTCTGTTCTTTTAACCAGTTCTCGGCTTCGATCTGGATCCGTAGACCCCATAAAATCAACTCGCTTCATATTTTCGAAGTTTGTCATATCTTCGTTCTCTTGGTCTATTTTCAAAACCATGTTGATGTAATGCATGTGCATGAGGTATCTATTGTCCAACCCGGCCGCGGGTGGTTCCATATGTACCTAAAAGGTATATAAAGCCTCTACGGTATGTTGATCGACTGCTCCCTCTCTCTACGGTGCCTCATGGTTAGAACCATGATCACCTACTTCTTTCATCCTATATATATGAAATTATATCATGTCATGTGCATTTATGCGATATCATGCATGCATGTATCCTTATGCCCATATGAATCATATCCCTACTCCGATACCAAAATTGTTGCATCCTTAACCTAATTCCTTACAAAAACTTCGTATAACTTAGCCATTTTAGTTCTAGAAAACTCAATTAATCACAAAATATCACTTAGGACCGTTGAAACCTCATATTAGAAAGATTAGGATTTTGTTTTTGGGAAGCAAGTTACACGGCCTCCAACAAGGCCGTGTACTTACCCGTGTAACTTAAAACTCATTTTCCCTTGAAAATAGAAGGTTACACGGCCTTCCACACGGGCGTGTACCTTCCCGTGTACGTTTCGCCGAAAACAAGGGTTTTTCAGCCATAACACTTCAAACCTAATCAACAACATTCTTCCACTCATAGTCCTTGAATATTCAATCAAAATCACTTTTTCTTTGTTCATAAACACATCACAAAACACCTCCAGGAGTTCATATTTACATAGTTATATATATAATTCAAAAATCTCCTATGATGCATATGCTCGGCATAATGAGAGAGAGGAGAGGGAGATCGCCAGCTCGACTCGTCACTTATGACGTGAATTGAACAACAAAAGATGACTTTAACTTTCACTTCTTGCTTCTTAGTACCTAAAAAGATAATTGCATTTTTAATTAGATGCTACTCAATGAGAGAACAATAATCCATTGAAACCATAACATGCAATCACATATCCAGTATCATCATATATAAACAATACGAGTAGTTCATATGACTCTAAGATTACATGCTTTTCTTTTTCTTATCGATTATAACTTGGACATGTCAAGTTTCACCCCGAGTACTTGTAACTTGTAAACTTGTACACATGTATTGTCGTCAGCTTTTATAACTTGTAGTTAACCCGTTGGCTCCTTGTAAACTTGTATTTGCGAAACTTGGACAAGCCGATCATAACCTTAACCTTTTAGTCTTATATATATCATGAATGTTTTCATATAGCATATACAACATCCATGGCTTACACCATGGTACATATCCATTATAACATCAATAAACATAATGTTTGCATCAACTAGCAAACGGCACATCATTCACATCATAATATCAATATCAATAAACATAATATTGTTATAACATCAATAAACACAACGTTTGCATCAACTAGCAAACGGCACATCATTCACATCATAGTATCAATATTAATAAATATAATATTAGCACTCAATAGCAATAACACATCATGGCACAACTATTATTATTCAACTCATAAAAATGACGTCTTCGTCGTTTATCAATGCGTCGCGTCTTGCACCTCATGCTCCTCGATGTCTATAAACATATACACATATACTTTTATAAGTCATTTTATCATGATCAAACCTCTAAATACGCTCAAGGTACAAAATATGACTTTAGGGTTAACTTATTTCTTTATGGGTACTTGACCCCTTTTCACTCTTTCTACCATAAGTCCCAAAATACAGATTCAAATGATGCAATTCTAGTTTCACATGAAACTAGACTCATAGGGCTCTAACATATCCAAAAATCAAGTCTAAGTACGAAATACACAACTCATGGTGATTTTTCTAAAAATCAGAGTTGCTGCCATTTCTTTATGGGTACTTGACCCCTTCACAGATTCACACTCTTTGTACTATAAATCCTAAAATACAGGGTAAAATGATAAAATTCTAATTTCATATGAAACTAGACTCAAAGGGATCTAACATATCTAAAAATCATCCTACTATTCCATATACATGATTTATTCTAGATTTTCAAACTCTAACTAGTTTCCAAGCACCGTTGTTATCGAGCGAGTCTCCAAACAAACAATAATAAATCTAAATTGGGACATGATCAAGACCTAATTCTTTTTTAAAAAAAGAACTAGACATATCAATATAAAACATATCCAAAAATCAGATCGAAATACTCAACACCCAAAGAATACCGTATTTTAAAAGTTTACACACTAATCCGCCAACATCGGATCACCTAGAACAACATGTGTTCAAACCATCATAACCCGAAATATACATCACTAAATACCAACCCTTTCACAGAGAGCTAGATAAGACACAAACCATCAATTTTTATTCTTACAACTTGTTCCATAACTGATCCTAAAGTCTCGAAATCAAAAGTACAAAACAGTAGCTGGAGATGAACTTACCTAGATTTCCAGCTTGATCATCCGCATTTGACAAAGAAATAGGTTTTTCCTCTCTTTCTCTCTCTCAAAACGGGAAACCATATGGGATAAGAAGAGATAATGATCAGGTAAGTAATCTTGATAAGGTTGTGAAGATATTTTAGCAAAGTTCGTTTTGATCCCTCAAGTTTTGGCTTGTTTTTATTCTAGTCCTCCAACTTATATTACATTTAATTGAGCCCCTATTTCTTCCTATTATTCAAAATACTTATTATCCAATACCTCACTAACATATCATATGCAGGTATAATTATATGCATGTAATTCATAAGTATACGTGTATGCATGAACAAGTGATGTTTTTGGGACGGGGTTATTACATAGACCGTCGCTAAAGACAAAAATATTAGCAACGGTCTAGACCGTCGCTAATCCGTCTCTATTTAGCAACGGCCTTACCAAGGGTTTAATAGATTGTCGCTAATTTCGCAAGTATTTACATCGATATTTAGCGACGGACTAGCAACGTTTTTTACCGTCACTAATATTGCAACGGTCAAAACCGTCGCTAAATTATACCGACGAGCTTTTAGCGACGGTCACGTGACCGTCGCTAATGAGTCACGAATTTGTTTTGACGATCGTTTTGCCTATCGCTAATGTGCCTTTATCTTGTAGTGTTTAGGACATCTTCTTGTCCGTAAAATTTGAAGAGATTTTGTTGTTTGAAAGTTTTTGATCTCATTGTAGGAGAATACAGATAGGAAAAAGAAATAATTAAGCAGTCTTCCGAGCTATGCACACGAAGCAGTCCAAATTGGACAACTCTTGTTGTGTATATATATATTTTTTTTAATCATTCACTTATTGTTAACTATTTTTTGAAACCTAACGGTGGAATATAGAAAAAGGGTAGACGACGGACATTGTACGGAGACAGATTTCACAGGAGTATTTCTTCTGGCGGCTGAGGGAATAGTGCAACGCCAAGGCCCATGAACTTTGACCAAGCGAGCAACATGAAAATGTTACTGAAAATCATTTTCGTGATCTAACCCATATGGTTGGCACTTACAATTTTTTTATTTTTTTATTTTTTTTTTAAAGAACGACTTATTCTCGTTACATAAAAAGATTTCCTTCCTTGGAAGACAAAATAATCAAAACCAAAATAACCTTTCAACATAAATTATGAGAATGAAAATAAAATCACATCAATGAGAATCACACCAATGAAAAGCACACACATAAGGAATTTTCAAGCAGCTCAACAACTTCCAGTTTCCGAGATGGATTTCTCTCATTGGACTGCACGTTAGAGTCAACGATCTCCCAGTTGTTTTTGAATATTCAATTCAGTTTAATTTTGACGGTCTTAATGTTCATTGATCATTCAGAAATGTTTTTTTAATTATTATTATACATACAAGAAATCTATGGATTCAATTCAACTTCATTCCTATATTCATTGTGTTCCCATCAGTTCACATTTTCAAGTTTCACTATTTTCCAAGTTGCAATCCTACTTTCTTTTACTTGTTCAACTCTTATCTCTTCTTTCTTACGATACCCTCTTTAAACACCCTCTCAAAGCTGAATTCGCGTTCTTTCTCTTTTTCCTCTCAAAGCCTTTTGGCCTTATTTCCTTTTCCAGTAACTTATTGCCTATCCAGAGCTGCCCAGGTTTCTTTTTAGCGATAGTTTATCCTCTAGTGACTAGCAACAACTTGGTATCAGTCCAATCTTGATTCCAAGATTCATTGTGTCTGTTTATTTGATATCTGTTCGTTCAACACACAGCCAGGAACAACCTTCTTGTCCATATAATTCAACTGTTATCAGCTAGAGAGAATACGAAGTCCTTTATCATGGCTGAGATTGATCATACATTCTCGTTCGGGGGCTCGCAACATAATCAGGGTCAGCAAGTAGTGCCATTTCCTACCAATAAAGGGTCTTTGAAAGTTTTGCTTCTACATGGTAACTTAGAAATATGGGTTAAGGAGGCTAAAAACCTTCCTAACATGGATATGTTTCATAAGACTTTAGGGGATATGTTTTCGAAATTCCCTGTGAAGCTCGGCAATAAAATTGAAGGGCACGTAGGTAATAAGATCACCAGTGATCCATATGTCACTATTTCTGTATCTGGTGCTGTAATTGGGAGGACTTTTGTGATCAAGAATGATGAGAACCCGGTGTGGATGCAGCATTTTGATATTCCTGTTGCACATCATGCTGCGGAGTTGCATTTTGTGGTCAAAGATGATGATATTGTTGGCTCACAGATTATGGGCGCTGTGGGGATCCCGGTAGAGCAGTTAATCTCAGGCACGAAAATTGAGGGAATGTTCCCTGTCCTTGGTTCTAATGGGAAGCCCTGTAAGGCTGGAGCTGCATTGAGTTTATCAATTCAGTTTACTCCAGTGGAGAAAATGGCAATTTATGTGCATGGAGTGCGCTCAGGTCCTGATTATTATGGGGTTCCTGGCACATATTTTCCTCTGAGGAGAGGAGGTAAAGTTACTCTCTATCAAGATGCTCATGTTCATGATGGTTGCCTTCCTGATTTGAAGCTTGATGATCATGTTCAGTATGAGCATAGAAGTTGCTGGGATGACATCTGTAATGCTATCAGCCAGGCTCGCCGATTGATATACATTACTGGATGGTCTGTCTACTATAAGGTTAAATTGGTACGGGATGGTAATGACGGCAGAGATCATACATTAGGAGATCTTCTCAAGACCAAGTCTCAAGAAGGTGTTAGAGTGCTGCTTCTCGTATGGGATGATCCTACCTCCAGGAGTATTTTGGGATTCAAAACAGTGAGAAAATTTAACTCATTTTCCATGCATGATGCTGCTTTTGTCATTGTTCAGACTAAATTTCCATATTAATTTCTTTTTTCTGGTTACCTGTTCTGGTGAATTTGACACACATTTTAATTATAATGGTGATATTATTCTTTGCTACAAGGTCTTTCATGCAGCATTCCGGTTTAAAAGTTGAAGGAATGGCTCGCTATTGGAGAGCCTATAACAATGCTTTTGCAGGTTTGATCTATGCCCTCCCACACCCAAGGAGTAGTGTGTAGTTTATAGCTATAAGAAAGCTTCTTGGTGCTTTCACGGTAAATAGTCAGTCAAATATGGCAACATTTAAAGTAGAAAACTTGTTGGTTTTAGTGAATTTTATTGTTCACTCTTCTGAGGTCTACAGCTGCTTGATGTCACGTTTTCAGAGAATCACCTAAATTTCCCAAACACAATTGCATGATATTTACTTTCTGTGATTTTTTCTTGAGATTCAAAGAACGTCTTTAGTTCACTCATCTACTGTCATTCCAGAATCAATTGAATACTCGCAAATTTCACTCATGCTTAAAAATGCTAACTATTTCCTCTTGGACTAGGCATTTAAAATTTAGTGTTGTGTAGGAAGGGGTCATGCATACCAGTGATGAGGAGACTCGCCGTTTTTTCAAGCGCTCATCAGTGCAAGTGCTACTCTGCCCTCGTTCTGCTGGAAAGGGACACAGCTTTATCAAAAAGCAGGTTGGATATAAATAGGCTCTATCTACATCTCTATGGTTCAAATGCTACTTGTGTGAGAGCATTAATAAGCATCTGTTGGTGTTTGCATCTCTTTGCATTGATAGCATTTCACATGCATTGATTTCACTGAAGATTCTAAGATCAATTTGTAGCTATAATTGTGTATGTAAGTGGAATACATTAATACATGATATGTATGCCACATGGTCTGAACCTCTTTTTTTTTTTTTTTTTAATTTTGTTCATCAGGAAGCTGAAACAATCTATACGCACCATCAGAAAACGGTGATAGTGGATACTGATGCAGGTCACTTCAGAAGAAAGATTACAGCATTTGTTGGAGGTCTTGATTTATGTAATGGTCGATATGACACTCCACAGCATCCACTTTTTAGGACATTGCAGACGGTGCACAAAGATGACTTTCGTAACCCTAATTTCACGGTAATCTCACAGCTGATTTTCTTAATTAAGTGCTATCAGATACGTATCATATTAGCTAGTTGCTCCAGAGATGAAAATCTGTTAATTATCTAGCAAGGATGAGCACATGTGTATGATCTATTTAGCATATCATACATGTTAGTCTCAAAATGCTTTTTTAATCGATCACAAAGAGATGCTGACAATGTAATATGTTTCTGCGGTCGCTAATCAGGAGCCAGCTGGTGCTGGTTGTCCAAGACAACCATGGCATGATTTGCATTGTCAAATTGATGGTCCAGCAGCCTATGACATCCTCACCAATTTTGAAGAACGTTGGTTGAAGGCATCGAAACCCCGTGGGATGCAAAAATTGAAGGCATCAGTTGATGATGCATTACTCAAGCTTGAAAGAATTCCTGAAATATTGGGGATAGCAGAACTTCCATCCCTGACTGAGGATGATCCAGAGGCTTGGAATGCTCAGGTACTTAATGTCAATCAGTTATTGGGCTCCAATCTTGTACACCTAATATACTACATATGAGAGTGTCTCCATGTGTATATCTCTTGACTAAATCTCCTTACAATTGAAGGTTTTCCGTTCTATTGATTCCAATTCTGTGAAAGGCTTTCCAGATGACCCAAAAGATGCAACAAGCATGGTGAGAAAACTTTGATTTGGAGCTCCTTTTTTCTTCCTTCTCATGAACAAACATGAGCGTTACTTTTTCATATTAGTCAGTGCGCAGGTAATTTGCTAACATGTTTATCGCTTCATTGCAACAGAACTTGGCTTGTGGGAAGAATGTGATTATAGACATGAGTATACATACAGCATATGTCAATGCAATCCGTGCTGCCCAACATTTCATCTACATTGAGAACCAGTATTTTCTTGGGTCATCATATAATTGGGATTCTTACCAAGACTTAGGTAAGGAGTTATAAATTTTGAGATAGAGGAAAAAGGAAGATATTTTCTGTGTCATTCTTGTCAATCTAAGGTTAACTTGTGAGCTCTGATGCTTCTCAATATCTTATGTCTTGACTTTTGCTGATGATAAGAAACAATATTCCAGATGATTCCCAATTTCCTGCTACATAACTTCCACTTGATGTCTAAATAGTTCCATGATTTAATGCTGAAGTTGATTGAACATGAGTATGACAGAACTCCTGAAATTGGTGTTCTCGTGCCTCTATGGAGGATTGTTCAGGTTAGGAAGTCATTTCATGAACTAAAAACCGTAGCACATAGAATTTTATGTAGAAATTTTTAATGTAGATAGTCACCGTAAGCTTTAATTTCGGACATTAGATTCTGCTACTTCTATCAGCTTTTGGTTCCAAATGTGGGTATGTAAAACATTTGGATCGCATGATATTAATGGCATTTTGTTACATCCCAATTTTTCTTTTACTTCTCCCACTCTTCAAAGTTACATCTCTAGACACAAAATTATAACCATGGTTATCATCTGCAGGAGCAAACAACTTAATACCCATGGAAATTGCTCTTAAAATTGCTGACAAAATAAGAGCAAACGAAAGGTTTTCTGCTTATATTCTTATCCCAATGTGGCCGGAAGGAGTTCCTACAAGCACACCAATACAGAGGATTCTCTTTTGGCAGGTAGGGACCAATTACTATTTGAAAAAGAGAGAACTAAATGCAGTATGTGTAAAGTTTGGATCAACCACCAGTTCCTCCTGAAATCTCTAATAGACCAAATAGCACCAATTTCATGCCAATCTTATGACCTGCACGTGATGCGTGTTTTTAAATGTAACTTTGATTTTTAAAAGAACTTGTTTCATGAATAATCAGAAAAATTTGCCCTTGGATGTAACACATGAGGTGAACACGACAACGCTTATTTCTGCATATTTTTCACTAGTGTTATTGTTATCTGCTGCAGCACAAAACGATGCAAATGATGTATGAAACAATTTACAAGGCCTTGGTGGAGGTTGGGCTTGAAAATACATATGAGCCACAAGACTATTTAAATTTCTTCTGCCTTGGCAATCGCGAGGCATTAGATAGGGAGAATGGTGTACAAAGTTCCACTCCTGCAACCACTCCTCAGGTTTGTGGAGAATGGTGTACCAAACTCGACTAGATGTTGAGACTATTTCTGCTCTCTCCTTAGCAATAGCATATCACTCTCTCATACTTACATTCAATTGGTAAAACAGGCTCGGAGTGAGAAGAGCAGACGCTTTATGATTTACATTCATTCCAAAGGAATTATAGTGGATGACGAATATGTGATATTGGGATCTGCAAACATCAACCAGCGCTCTATGGAGGGCACCAGAGACACTGAGATAGCAATGGGAGCATATCAGCCTCACCATACCTTGGCAAGGAAACACTTTCGTCCGCAAGGGCAGGTAAGCTTGACTGGACAAATACTTTGCGTTTATCATGCTGCAGGTGCAGGACCAGTAATTAAGGTCCAATGTACTATTATTAACATCAATACTGATTTTATTTGCTATATGTATTTTCATTGGAAAAGTTTAGAAATTTATTTTTCTTATAGAAACAAAAACCTCCAAAAGCAGAACAGGTTCTGACTTTCTACTTTTCTAGTGTTCCTGAGGCTTTCGCATTCTAATAACTGCAGGTCTATGGATATAGAATGTCGCTATGGGCAGAACACATAGGAGGACTTGAGGAGTGTTTTGAGCAACCAGAGACCATTGAATGTGTGAGACGTGTAAGGTCCCTTGGTGAACAGAATTGGAGGCAGTACATAGCTGATGGGGTAACAGAAATGAAGGGTCACCTTCTGAAGTATCCAGTTGAAGTTGACAGAACAGGCAAGGTCAAGGCTCTCCCTGGCAGTGAAAAATTCCCAGATGTTGATGGTAACATTCTAGGGTCTTTTATAGCCATTCAAGAAAATCTCACTATTTGAGCTATTAATTAAGAATATGACCAAGTCACAGTTGTTCTGCTTAATTTCTCAGTCAAGATTTTGCATAGAGTGATGATAGTATACTACCAACTCTTTTGTTTTCATCTTAGGCCATTGTCTGGCTAGTGGGTTTTTATTTTTATTTTTTTTATTTTTTTCTTTCATTTTCTTCAACTTGTAAAATAGTCACAAGAAGACTCAAACTTGAGTCCTGCCTCCTCCCCTGCTTCTTCTGAACTAAATGTATATTGACAGATATTGAGTTAGAAAGTTGTTTTGAAATTTGTTCAATACTTCTTGAAACCTCAACTTGTTTAACGATTGATGAGGGCATTCGTTACTTTAATTTCATGCCACTGACATGGTGGCATGTGACTTCGAAGTTGAATATTTTGATGTAGGAGAGTCCGACATGCCATTATTTCAATTGTCCTATGATGCCCTTTTAATTATGTCTTTTTTGTATTAATGGCAATGCTAACCTGTGTCATCATTTGTGCATAAGATGATCATTTTTTTAAAGAACTTAAATAAATAAAGAACGAGGAACGGGTTCGTTTCTGGGACTGACAAAAAGGGGGAAAAAATTAAAATTAAAATGAAAACAATAGGCTTCATATTACCATTTGTGCTCCAAATTGAGGAATTTTTTTCTTTCTTTCCTTCTTTTTCTTTACTCAGAACCCAGTGCATATTATTGATAGTTAGTGGGTGGAAGGACTAAAGTAGCCCTCATTTAAAAGTTATGGGACTAAATGGCTGGAACGTACCGCTCAAAAAATCCATCAAAAAACTCCTTACGCCCTACTAAACAAGAATCTAATCTCAAAAACCATTTTGAAACCACCAATCAATATTAAAAAAAAAATTAAATCTAAAAAATTTAAATCCACATATTTTCTCATTTGAATATAAAATAATTTAATTTTGTTACCTATGACGCGATAATTTTTATTTAATTGTTTTTTGATAAACAAATAGATTTCTATTGAAAAATTGATACACGTAAATTGTAGAAAAAACAAATTTGTATGATGGTTTTGTATTTAAATTATTACTTTATAAAAAAAAATAATTAATTTTATTGTATTTTAAAATTAGAGATAAGATTACTTAGTTTTAAGAAGTTGAGAAAATTGACTCCATTCTAATAACTAAACTACTTGCCGTTGGAGATCAAGCATTTTCTTTCAAAGTGGCAAGTAGCAATTTCCACTCTCTAACAGAACAGGTAGCAATTTTATAAAAATGATTCTTCATCCATCAAGTAGATTTATGAAGAGAATTAACAAAACAAACTAAATGAGCAAGATGTTTTATTATGTTATACGTATTGTGATACAAGATATATTTCTACTATTTGTTGGTTATTAATTAGAGTAAAAAAAAAAAAAAAAACATCGCTTTGGGTTGTTTTGTCTTGAAACGATGTTGTTTTCTCAAAAAATTTAAGTGATTTTTTTGAGAATATATTCACTTTGGTCTTTGGAGTTTGAGGATTATGTGGCTTGATACCTGAAAGAGAGAGAGTGCTAAGGGTCCAATCTTATTTTATATGTAAAAACTACTGAAATTAGTGTCAATGAATTCGCTTGATAACGAGAGCTAATACGTGGTGATTATAGATCTTGACATAATGGGTAAAAGTTTGAAAAAATAAATGAAATTTTAAATCTGAACCGTTCTTTTCTTAAAAAAAATAATGATAATTTTAGATGATTAAAATGCGTTTTAGAGTTTGAGGAATGTGTGGTTTGATCTGTGAACTTTATTTGGCTTGCAATCCAATCCCTAAACGTTAGGCTGTATTTGTTAGGGGAAAACAAGTTTTAGAAACTTATTTTCCTCATTTTTCAGTATTTGTTTCGCATTTAGGAAAAATGTCAACGAAAAATGATAAAATATTTTTTAAAAAAATGTTTTCCTAGTTTAAAAAAAAAACATTTTCCTTCTTATGAGTTGTCTCGTTTTTTGCGTTACTTACTTTTCTCTCGATATATTATAACAATTTTTTTCTTTATCTTTTTTTTATTTAAAATATATCAAATTAATTTTTAATTATTCATTATCAATTATCATTTATTATTTAATTATTCTTTCTCTATTTCGACTAATATTTAATTTTTTTTATTTATAGATACATTAAATATTCTTAAAAACCATTTTTACACCTTAAAATTATTTTTATAATAAATATTTCAATAATTTATCTTTATTTTTTCACTATTATCTAAAACACCACTTACACTATACTTAAATAATTGAAAATGATTATTACAAGACTGTAATTTTTTATAAAAAATTTAAAATTAATTAATTCATTAATAAATACATTATTTTTTCAATACTATTCATTTGCAACTAAATTAATAATTTATAATTTTAATCAGTTGTAAAATGTTGTTGGTAATTGTAGGGAATAATTAGTTACAAATTATTCTCACATTAATCTTTTGAAACTAAATGAATAATTATCTACAAATGATAACTAATAATTTATAAAATTATTTTTTAGACTAAATTTATTAGTTCAATTTCTAAAAAAAGAAAAGAAAAGAATTCTTAATTGAGTTACCAAAATAACAATGCTAGGATTACTTAGAATTTTTTATTTTTTATTTTTTATTTTTTTTACTAAATGTGAATATTAACTTGATTTTGTCCCAAGTAATTTTGATAAATTGATTTGATAGTTAAAAAATTACATTTTATTTTTTTGAATTAAAATTTTAGAGTCAGTATTTATGAAAATTTATTAAATTTTTCTAAATATATCTTATATTGTGAAATCATGAATATACCTTTTTGAAGATTTCTTAAAACCTATTGATGTAATGATCACATATTGTTTTTGTATTTTAATTTTTTTGTATGAAACAAATGTTGAAATATTTTTTAGTATTTTTTTATATAATTATCAAATAGTAGAAAATATTTTTTTAAAAAAAATTTTTATAAAAAAAAATTTTCGTCGAACATACATAACTTTAAAAGAGGAGGGAGAGAGAAAGGGAGAGCGCTTTAAGGAGAGGGAGGATATAGAAACTCCATCCAGTCTTATTTTGTATAAAAAAACTACTGAGAATTGCATAGGCGACGACACGCTAGTCCTTGTGTATGACGCATTGTCCACCTCTTTTTTCAATTATGGGCTACAGAAGTCAGGCTCGCCTTCAGGCCCATGTGTGTAGGCCTGAAGTGAGTTTTGGCCCAACTTTCTTTCTTTTATTTTTTTTATTTTTTTATATGCTTTTTGTTTAACTCAAATATCAAATTTCTTCAATAATTAATGGTTATTTTTATTTCCAGACAACCTTAAAAAAAAAAAAAAAAAAATCATTGTTCTTCATAATTTAGCCTTTTTTTTTCAAAAATTATTATCAGAAGTGCAATTTGCTATTATCAAAGATATTTATTCTCCATGCAACCTTAAAAAAAAAACTGATTATCAATTTTTTTGAAAATAATACAGATTCGATAATTAATAATTAATCAATTTAAAATGTATAATTCTTTTTAAAAAAAATTATAGTAATGACACAAAAATAGAGTGATATGATAGTAATTTAAAAAAAAATAATAATCAACGCTATCGATTTATTAACTTTCAAAAGAAAATGGTCTAAATAATAAGGATTTAGTGATTGATAAAATATCATCTTATAACACCAATTTTTTATGTGATTTTATTTTTTTCCTTTTTTTATTTGCTCAAAATAAATTATTTTGAATTTTTCACACAATTTCAAAAATAAATTAATAGTTATTTTCCATAATTTTCTCTCTTTTTTTTCAAAAACAAATTCATACGTCATCTCTATTGTCAAAAATAATGATTCTTCATACAAACTTTAAAAAAGTTAATGATTGATTATTGATTTTTTTGCAATAATAAAAATTTGATAATTAATAATATAATCAATCTCGTATGCATAGTTTTCAAAAAAAAGGTATAAAAATAACATTGAAGCAGAGTGATATAACACCGATCTTTTTAAAAAAAAGAAAAGAAAAGAAAATAGAAAATAGGTACTGCCAATAGATTAGCATTTAGAAGAGAAATGTTCTAAATAACAAAGATTTTAATGATTAATAATTTATTATTTTTTAGTTTATATTAATTTTTGATAGGTTGTGTCTCACTTCAAAGTTCATCGTAATTCTTAAACATGTCTAAGAAATATGATTCCTTTTTTTTTGATGTGGTATAGATACATTAAATAATTCGTCACTTAATCTTTTTATTTTTCTATATAAAATTATTTTTAAATTTCAATTAATCAAAATTAATGTTTGAGATTATGCCAATCCAAAATATAAAAAATAAAAAATTAGCTATCAAGTAGAGAACAATATGGTTTTTAAATTAATATTATGAACTCATTAACTAAATTTAAACACCCTACCAGTGACACCTTTTAGAGGTAAATTCTTGACTTCTTCCAATTATTAACTCTTCTAATTAGATTTTTAATTGATATAAAAAAATAAAATATATCATAAAATATATTTAAACTAAAAATTAAAAAAATTATATTAAATACTATAAAATATATATTAAATTAAAAATATTTAAAATTGATTTTGATTTTGTTCACCTAGATTTAAAAATTTTATTAAAATATTAAAATTTATTTTATAAAATTATCCACGGCACAACGTGGATCATTATGCTAGTGAGTCCCAGAAGACATGAATATCCTGCATCAGAAGACAAATATCCACCCGCAACTTTTTTAAATAACAGTCTCTAAAATAATCAACCAGGCCTCTTTTAAAATTTTGGCTAGTCGAAACAAAAAATAAAATAAAACCACGCAAGTTGGAGTAAATTATAAATTAGTTTCTTTAATTTTGAGAAATTAATTAATTAATCTCTCTTGTTCCAAAAACTAATTATTTAATTTTTCTATATATTTTAAATTTTTAATATAATTTAATATTTTTGTAATTTTTTATTTTTTGTTTTCATAAATTTAAAAAAAAATTAAAAACTAAGA